TGATGTGCAACAAAGTATTAATATGAAGTTCATGAAGAAGAAAATAAACGATAAAAAAATTGGTTCAGGGTTATTTCCGCAGAACTTCCCTCGATCCCAAAGTACAGTCGAACAAATACAACTTCGAAAAATTATAAAATTTAATTTTGAGAATTTTATTTTTACGATGATTCCTGTGAGCTAAAATTAATGTGTGTGGATTGTTAAAGTACAAGTAAAGAATCATCATATGCATATGTTTCTATTGAGTTTTCCGTATAAAATTTTTTTGATGGCATCATCAACATTTTATCAAGGACACAAATCAATTTGAATTATATCCTCAAATTTTCGGGAAAATGGGATAAGTAATGAAATGAAACATGTCGCCTCAGTCATTAATTCTAAAAATGTATTTGCACGATATTACTAACATACATGTAAAATTTGACAACAAACGGGTTGGTAGTTTCGGAGATTATTTGTCTAATAAAAATCATCACAGACAGACGACAGATAGACGGAAACGGAAAACCTATTTTCGTACTCTAGGGGTCATGAAACGTCGCGAAAACATAAACGTAGCCAGTCGCCTGATGGACTCGATTACAATACTTCTTAACTTACGCTCGGGAAGTAAAAGATCATAAATAACAATTAAATAACTGGGAAGATATTTCGTCAATTAAAACGACCGAAACGATGTTAATTTTTAGTAATTTCATTCTTAGGTTTCGTCTTGTGCCATTTTTAATTCGTCAATATTAGTGAGCTTATTCGAGTGCTTATTTATCAAGTAATAAATTTATTAAATACAGATTCAATTTTATAAAAAAAAACAACAATCTAGTGTATGCTTTAAAATATTTGTTCAAAAATTTCTCGTTTAAAATTAAACATTTTTTGTTATAAATTTACCATACGTCATATTGTAACCATTTCCACTAAAGTCAATGCTTTAGTTTGTTGAATACATGCCATATATTATACGAGCCCTAACAACTAAATATTGGGACACAGACAATTTCTCAAAAAAATCCGGTAGATATTTTTGATATCATTCAATTCGTTTGGGCTAAATGCAAATTATGCATGGGCATCTATTTTGGCAGAGAGTGAGGTATTTTGCAAATTAATAAATTTTCTTAGAGCGCAAAAATTGTCACCTAACTAAAAAATGTGCAATTTTTGCTGACATTTAAATGTTGGGACACCCGAGAAAATTTGCTAAGTATACTATCGAAATACAAACGTAGTAGCTGATAAATGCTGCCATTATTATAGGGATCGTAGCATTTCATGCTAGTGTTGGTTTTATTTAGAAAAAAATAGTTAGCGGCGGGCTAGTTTTAGTAAAAGTTCTGAAAATAATAATTTCTCAGTACCTCAAGGGAAAATCGCTAAGAAAAAGTGAAGATTTGTTCCAAATAGCTTAGTCGTCGATGGTAAATGTCGTAAAATATTACGCAGACAGAGGTACCATCGGAATAAAAGGTAAAATTCCCCGTAGGCCACCACTTGTGAAGCCGCGTGAACAACGACAACTGATGAAAATTTATAAAAGTGGACGCCGGACTACTTCAAGAGAAATTACTACTTGCTGGAATAGCGATAACCAACTAAATTTTTCAAGACAATATTGTCGCGAATGCATACACAAATCAGGCCTTGGTTTTTACATTGTAAATCTTAAATAAAGCTATCTTTGATGGACTCTATTATTTATTTATATTATTTTAGGCTAAAGTAAAACCACAATTAAAAACTGCCCACAAGAAAAATCGGTTAATATGACCAAAATAAAAATTGGAGAAAAGTACTATATAACGCTGAGTCCAAATTTGATGCCTGGGTGAGATAATAGTCGAAAAAGAGTTATTGAAATAAAAAAGGAATTTTAATATGGATTATCTCAAACAAAGAGTCAAGTTTGCAAGCGGAAAAATGGTTTGGGGGTGCATGTCTATTAACGGAATTTAAAGACCAGTTAACAACGTTCATGGAAGGGAAATTACAAATTCAAACAAATATCAAGAGACTTTGTAAAAAAATATTAACAACTACTGAACCAGTCTATCCTGTTGATATTTATATTTTTCAACAGGATGATGCTTCAAGTTACACACCTACAACACTTATTACAAAGAATAATAATATAAATGTTTGCCCTGATCATCGAATAGCCCAGAACCTAATCTAGTAGAGACGGTATGGCGTGAAATAAAAAAATATTTACGAAATCATCCATCACAAGCGATTGTCAATCTTCAACGGGAAATTTAGCGAGTGTAGGATATGGTAACAACTCCTGTGTATTGTAGAAAATTGGTTGAAAGTATGATGGCAAGAATTCCTGCAGTTATTAAGGCAAAAGGAGATATGACCAGTTACTGAATTTGCTGTGTCCCAATATTTATGTGTCACAAAATGTTACGTTGTTTTAGAGTTTTATGTCACTGTTTGAGTTAGAAATCAGTTTTTGTTGTGCTGTAAACATTAACAGTTTTGCAAAACGAATTAATTTTAAAATTTTAGTCATCTAAAATAAATTACATTTTTGTTAAAAAGTTTGGTGATTTTTTTATAAAAATTTTTTGGTGTCCCAATATTTAGTTGTTAGGGCTCGTATACCCAATGCACTGCATCATTCAAGCACAGTCGAACAATTTTAGAAAAAATTCTTGTTACAAGCATTCTGAAAATGTATTCTGAATGGTTATTTTGTGCTGAATAACTATCTAATAAGACATTATGCCTACGTCGTCAAAACAATTTTTTTTGGAGATTGTTCGTCGATAGTTCCAGTTAACTGCCCATTCACAATGGACATAAGGCATAAGAACGAGCGCATATCATAATTTACGTTTTTGGTTTGTGTCTGGCTTATGCTTATGTACGTTCACAGTGGACAGAGTGAACTCTCAACTCTGTAAGAATTGTTAAACTGCGCAAACGCAGAACAGAATAACTGCCGGCTAAGCATAGAGGTGTGAAGTGCCAAGTGCCAACTGTCAAAGGGAATTCAATAGCAACATTCAAAAGTCCCTAGATTTTAACATAATTTTGACATAATTTGTGCACAAAGTTGAACTTATTTCAACTTTGTATACGCACACAAGGATTACATAAAACGTTCATAAGCATAAGAATAACGTTCGTCCATTGTGAACAGGGGTATACGTTTTCCATCGTTTCAACTTTATGTATTTATACAAGCTTTATGTAGGTACTTGTTATGCCTTATGTCCATTGTGAATGGGCAGTAAACGTGTACTATTGCATAATGGGAATAATTATCTAATACTGCCGACTGCATACTCCATACAAACTGCAGAAACATATGAGAATATTCAACACTTGATGTTAAACTGTATTAACGACAAAAAGTTTGAGTGCAATTTGATAGGCGATTTAAAAATTGTAGCTTTAGTAACTGGCTTCCAATCTGGATATACCAAGCATATGTGCTTCTTATGCAAGTGAAATACAAGAGAGAAAGCATTTCAACATCTGAAAACAATATTTCCTAAGCTTTCTGCTACTAACATAAATCAAGGTAAAAACTAAAATATTACAGTGAATTTCACTTTTCATTTTATGTACGTCCTCTATATTTAGGAATTTTCATTAGGCCTGAAATTCAAATGAAGGATCAAATGTTCTACGCCTATTTGAATGATATGGAAAAATTTATTTGGGAATCAATTAGCTTAGTGATCAGTGAATTTTTAGGAAACAAACGTTCCACAAATTATGTTTCGTTGAAGTTTCTTTGCTGATAATCTTTTCATCGAAAAATCAAGAGAGTCGAAGAAAGATTTAAGAGAAAGGCCCAAGTATCCATTATTTCCGAATACATGAGGCTTTTATAAAGAGTTAGATCCTTTTACATATGCTAGGCAGGTTAAATATTCGTAGACGTAATTAAATCTCTGTCGACAGAAATCTGTGGAACATTTTTTTAGTGTTTCTTGCGCGTTTTTCTATGTAAAATTAGAATTCACTTCATTTTTTGTAATTGTTCACCGGACGACAATAAAAATTTGAATAATTTTTTTTTGACGACATGGGTATATTATCTCTTTTAAGAGTTGTTCAGCACAAAATTACCTTCCCGACCATGTTTAGAAAACATATGTAACAAAAACACTGTTCTACTGTGTTATTGCAATATGATCTTCTACGTTGTTCAAGGCGAAAATTAAAATTTTCAACAACTCTGTTAAATGTCAATTGTTGTTGATGACTTTTTCAGTTGAACACCCATTGTATGCAGGTGTGGCGACGGAAGATTATGCGATGCTTGTTAATTATGAAACAAACATTTTTTTGACGCAGTCTGAGAAAACTTACTTGGAGTTACAATTTTTTTTTTCATATATGGGGTGTTTCATTGAAAAGGAATTCATAGAGTAGTATTTTTTTAACATAACGTTGTATATATTTTTACAGATTTAGTTCTTCAAAGGTTTTTTATCAACGGTTCTATACATATTTCAGCATTTTGATGCAAAAAATGGTCATATTTAAAAATTGTCAACTCCGCTATGTGTATCGAAAAATGGAGATAGAATTTTACATGCGATTTTTTAGCTACCTTTCGTTTACACACGCATAAAAACTTGAAGAGGGTTCTACCTTATGTATGCAATATTGTATTTTATAACATTGTTGAGCTAATCTCAAAGTAAATTTCGTTGGTGAGCAGTTTTTAACTGATTAGCGGAAAACGTGCAGATTTTTTATGAAATTCCTTTAAAAAAATCCTACATAATTTTAGACAATTGATTTGTTTGCAATGTTAAGGAATTGGTAACACCTCTGCGAAATTTCTTCCGAGAGTTAAATGCTATCAACCAAAAGTCAACTAGAAATAGAATATTTTTCTTTTTGTTTTTACAAAATTGTCGCAGTTTTTCAATACAATAAAATAATCGTAATACAAGGATTTGTTACTCTTTTATAAAACTATTAGCTATGAACCATGAACGCTGAAAATGACAAACTTTGTTTTGTTGCAGACGATGTAATCATGAAACAGCATCTTGGAGTAAAATGGTTAGATCTATCCCCTGTTCAACTCGTAAACTGGCCTCATATTGAAATAACGTTCCGCACACAAGACATATACTTCGTACGACGACAAGCTACAGAGTTCGTGCGATATTTAAATTTTTTACCACACGAAACCAATAAACATTCGGACTCCATTATTGAACATGCAGAAGCTTATGGACATCAGGAGTGCTATAGCTACGATTTTTTGGAAAAATACGTCAGAGTTTACCTCGAAGCATTAAAGACAGCCCCAGTAGTAAGTAATTATAAAAGTTTGATTGTTTCAAATTATGTGTGTTTTCCTAGGTGACTCCTGCCAAGTTATATGAGGTGCAAACTATTTTGGTTCAGTTCCTTGAAGACGTGAAGTATATGGACGTGAATAAGAGTATGGCGACAAGTACGGTAGTTATATTTAGACTGTCGCGAGTGCCGTTCATCAGAAATAAGAAACTGGTAAAGTCTGCTGATGGGGATGAAGCGAGAGTAGGTTACTGTGAAGTGATAACTCCAAAAATCCAACTACTATTAGTGTACTGCAAAGCTAAACAGAAAGACACACCTACACTTGCTTTTGAATATACTGACCAAATTAAGAATCCTGCAGAACACAGCCAAATTAAAGTAGTACCTCAAATAACATACAAGTGCACCTTTTGCAAAGTGGAGTACGTTGACTCAAATTCAAGAGACTTAATGATACAGCATTTGAAGCTGCAGCATAAAATGGAACAACATGTTCGTTGCACTCATTGTAAGAAGCAGTTTGAAGTTTTAGCTTTAGCGGCATGTCGCTGGAGACACAAATGCGTGCCCACCAGTGTCTGGTCACCTCCAGCTGCAGTAAACAAATAAATATATTTTTTGTATCAAACTTTAATTTTTGACAAATAATTACAACAAGTCTTAAATATAATGAGCTAGAACTGTCGTCGCGAGAAAATTGTAGGAACCCATGGTCTTGGCTTTGCCTCTTGTTCTTTCTTCGCAGCACCTTGTGCTTCAAGAAGCTCCATCAATTTTTTATGCTTTTCTCTAAAGGCGTCAATAGGATCGTCGTATTTGCTATAGTAATGAAGCACCTCTCTTACGTCTTCAATGTTGTTGTCGACGATGGTTTTCAAGAAAAGTGACAAATCCACCAGCGATAGATCTTCATCACTGCCTTCCCATCGTTTTATTTTTAGGAGGTTCTCGGGATGAAATTGAACGTTGTGCGCATTCCAGTCAACTACAATAACTTTACTTAAGTCGCGGTTAAGCTTATCGAGACTCTTGACATGGTGTCCGCCTGTAAAATGGGTAGCGTCCCGTACTAACTTGTATGCTATGATATTCTTCGGATCCATGGCTTCAATTAACGGAAAAACAGTCATGCCTTGCTCGGCGGTGTAGATAACGATTTCATAGTGTCCATGTAAAGAGTCAAGGAAATATTCTAAACCTGGTCGTTTCTTGAAACGCCACCCAGTGTTGTAAGTCCAATCTGGGTGCACCAAGACGTCCGTCAATTCCAAAACGAGTGTGTATTTTGGCTGCAAGTAAGGGTATTGGAGCGGATCTGGTAAAAGCTTGTCTCTTGAAGGCTCTTTGATTAAGCGTCTATAATTATCTAATTCTCTGTACGTTCGTATTAAATACTGCCGCCACAGTGAAATATTCGACAGATCGTCTTCAATAACATTACCGTTCTTGTCTCGTTCTGGCGCCCCCAGGACAAAAATTAAATAAGTTCCTAGGCACGTGAAAGACACTCCAAAGAACATTAGGGTCAGTTTCATCGTTCTCCATGATGCTTCTCGCTGTTTTTTCGCTTCTTCTTCCTCTGAGGGACCCTTGTCGATTGTTTCTTTAGCTATGAGGTTACCAAGTGGTGACTGAACAGGCTTCTTTTTTGCTTCTTCTACCAAATTTCTACTTTGAATTACAACTACGGGTAACTTAAACAACACTCGGGGTCCATTCCTGGTGAGAATAAGCGAAGATTTTTGTCTAAATAAGTTACTGAAGACTTGAAAAGTTCTAAAAGTAGATCTGTACATTTTTAGGTTAGGTCGGATACATTTGACAACTGTCAAATTCGCCGATTCACATGGCAAGCATTCAGCGCAGCTGCAGCAGCATTTACAAGAATTTATACTGATTCATAATCCACCCTTCGAGACATGAATATTTCCTGTACTTCGTCAATTTTGTTCGAATTATTTAATAAATTTTGTTATGCGGCAAATCAATCAATACCGGTCTTTTTAGGTTGGCAGCACCTCCCGAATTAAAAGCCCCGCGAACTTTGAAGAAACACGCTTTCGTTGCGATTAAACGGTCTGAAAGTAACAATATTAATATGAACCTTCTAATGCACCCTTCCTTAGGCAATTCCGAGCTGACTTGTTGTTATTACGGTGATCACTCACCTGTTTTAATCTAAAGGAGGCATAATTCACGGCGAAAGGGTGCGAATATTCTTCGGTTGCATTCTTTTCAAATATATGAAGCTAATATTTTTTTAAAAAACTCATAAAGCGACCGACGAACCGTTCAAATTTATCATAAACTTATTCTGGTGAACATTCCAATAGCGCGCTGGCGAGGTGAGATGCAATATGTAAAATAATCCACCGGAAGACAGAGACGGACTGTAAAGAGGGTGCCGCAAGTGTGGAGCGAACAGAATAATTTACTGCCGGATGGGAGAACGGAGAATTGATAACAGATTCTCAAGAAATATAACAAAAAACCTGCACGGAATTTATTATCGGCCTTACAATTCTTACATTTTAACACGAAAAGCCGCATTTGGGGCTTTGGGGGGTGTTTCGTTCATTACAGTGACGTGTCGGATTGAGTTGGCGAGATGTCACAAATCAACATCGAGAATGTTTTTAATTTGAGGAAACCAGTGGGAGCATTACTGTTTACTAAATCATTCTTAAATCTAGAGTAAAAAAAATGTTTTTCTACGTTTAATGTTAAAAATAGGTAGCTATACCGATATTTAGTATTCTTGTAGGTTCAATATAAATATTGTATAGAGATACATGGGCAGGTAGAGCCACATACATTATCAAACAGTAAAGTCCAGAAAGTAAGTAGGTATACCTACTGAACAAGTCCTAGCTCTGGGTGTTTGTATAGGTCCGGTTTACTGTAATTGGGGTTCGGCCTGTTGAAAACCTAATTAATAAAATAAAAAAAAAATCTGTCTAATAAAATCGCCAACAATCAGACGAGATAATTTATGACTGACATACGGAAACGATGAGGGACCTGTTTGTCCATATTCAAAGAGCTGTGACAGAAGTAAAAAAAGCTAGTGAAGCTTAATTTAATTTTATTAGTTTCTAAAAGGGTAAACATAATTTACACAGTTTATTTTGCCATAAATGGTTTTAAACTAAACTTCCCTAAAAAAAAGTGGTCCCAAGTTATTTACGATTCACAGGGGACCTTTCAATTTATATTCATCTAGTGTGCAGTGTTTAATAAAAAAATTATACACTTGAGCCATTTTATGACCACTTTAAATGGACCCGTTCATGCATTTTTTAAGGAAATGCTGAAATTGTTTGCGTTCTGAGATAGGAGGTACTCTGAAGAAAAGTGCCAGCTTTCTTGTCATACCATTTACAAGCCTAAAAATCTGCAACTGTGGTAATGTTGTCATATATCAGAAACCTTGTTCTAAAACTAAATAGTGGAATCGTCATCTTTGTGCCGTACAGGTGGTTGCCGACCGAATTTTGTACTTTCTAAAATAAATTTTCAAAATTTTCTAATTAAAATAAATATAGATAGAGTCAACCCCTTAGTAATGTAGTTCGCGAGTTACATAAAATGGCATTCCTTTTTCTGGTGTTATAATTTGTAACATTTCCTTAACATTTTCCCAGGATCTTTTTAAATAAACTTAGATCATTTTTTTTTATGGTTGTTTTCAGATTTCTGGTGCAACCAGATGTTAAGTAGCAGAATATTTCTTCTCAACAGTTGGCCTTTCCTATCTTTTACAATATATGATCTAGGTTCATTACATTTTTTACAATTTTTGCCGACTTCCATTTACCCCCCTTTTGTAAGGTAACATTTTATTTGTCCACAAAATTAGGTTTAGCTTTTGTAGTCCTGTACTCCTGTCATAGTAATATTTTGTCTGTTGTTGTTTGGTGTGTAATTTTTTGATTACATTATTTGGATCAGTTGTGTTTAATTCTAATGTATGTTGAGGAACTGGCAGCTTGCTTTTGATGTTTCGATTAAAAACTAATTCTGCAGGAGATAGACCTACACCAACAAATTTTGTCGATCTGTAAGACAAATTACTTTTAAAAAGTAATTTGGCTATTTTTACTACACTTTCTTCAAAGCCATTACTTCTAGGATAATGTGGACCAGTTGTTGTTATTTTAAACCCATATTCATTCGAAAATTTTCTGAAACTATAAGAAAAATATGGAATATTATCAGCTATCAGTAAATTCGTATCCCAAAGTAAGCAACAAATTTTGTAAACTGGGGGAGTCCGAATTGGGCACATGACGTGAAAAAGATAGGAGTTGCGCCCTTTTACCGCTCGGAAAATGTCCGAATTGCGCCTACTACCTGAATGCTCCTTTACCGCGTTGTTAGACCCTACAATGCAGGTAAAAATTACTCTCCAGTGGAAAATCCAGTGTTTTGTGACGTCAGTATAAGATATTTCAATTACCTAAATATAAATGAACACAGAAATGAACTCTAAAAATCAGAGACTTTAAATACATGTATTAAAGTCTCTGCTAAAAATAAATTGACGAATGCATAGTTTTACTGAGGTGCCATTCTTATAGTAATATTACTGCATACCTACCTAAAATGTACATGTAAAATGTATATTCAGTTCAGTCAGTAGATAAATTGTGTTAACGTGCTATGGTTTACAGAATCAAATTTTCCTCAATCTGATTGTAAATTCGTGCACCTATTTGTATATAATCTACTGTTGTTTCCTCGTATCAGGTGGGTCTATAGTGAAAAATTTTGAGGAGCAACAACAAATGCTTGCAAATTATTCCACGCGAAATATAATAATCCTAATTCATTTAGTTTTTCTCATTCTAATAGTAACTATTACCTATAGCCCCTAGAAATACATGTATTTCTAGGGGCTATAGGTGTGATAATATTTCCAGGTAGCGGGCGCAACTCCGAACATTCACCTACAGTAGAATGTGCGCAATTCGGACTTTTTGAGCTCGAAAATTCAGGTAGCGAGCGCAACTCGGATACATCCGAATTTTGCTGCCCTTCTGCTACTAAAATTACAAAACAACTACTTCTATTACAAAGGTTTTAGATATTGAAATTGCCCAGCAGTTACCGGATGCAATAAGACAACTTCTTCTAAACTGGATCTTACCAGTTTATCTGACTTGACCAGAAGGGCATATGCTTTTTTTTGTAGAAGCTTTTGCATAACCATGTTTACAGAATGTCCTGTTATTCTAACTCAATTGCCTTTTAACATTGGTAACAGGTCTATAGGTTCTAGTCATTATCAACTTTTTTATCTGCCCACCTCAAGAATCGATATTAAAAAATTTAGCCTGTTGTTCAATCTTCGTTCTATAGGCAATGACATTAATCATGTTGTGGATCTTTTTAACTCGTCGCTCAAATGTGTTAAATCGTTTTGCAATTGATTTTGTTTTTATTTTGAGTTTTTTTGTGGTTTATTAATCAGCAGTCTCGTCATGGGAGCACTGTCATATAGGAGTGGTGTAACGTGCTTTTACTGCTGTTTTTACTCTTTACTTGCTTCAATTTAGCATTCTTTAATTAGAATGTTTTTTTTTCTGTTGGATTCTTAGTGTGACAATAAGACATTTTGTATGTTACCGTTGTCATGCAATTAATAATAATAATATTACTAATAATAACAATTTTCACGCAGTTAAAAAGACCATTACGCTTTGGAAGGGAAGTTTGAGGCGTCCAAATTGGAAAATTTGTTCTATCTGCAAAATTTGTCAAGTACTTTCTTCTGTAAAGTCTTTTCTTATGTATTTTTAAAGTTATATTTTAATCAAGAAGATTTTGTAAATATTTTATAGCTCAAGATTTTAAAGATAAAATTCCATTTAAAATTATAAGGAGAAACAATTAATGAAAAAAATATCAAAAGATTCAAAATTTAATATCCACTGATCCACTGAAAAACAATGCAATGATAGAACAAGAAAACAAACAAGTCAATAACTAATTTCTGGGAGGATTACCTATAGGTAAAGTATTTCTAAAGATATTTGGAAACAGAATTAAGTACTTTTATTGCACTCTCAGCGGGATATCAATGCCTCTGCCATAAATTAAAAAACATACATTTTATAAGAATACTAGCTGACTATGTGAATTTCGTTTCACCTACAATTTAATTTTGAATCTCCAAAACCGAATGCTATGAAATCTTGCAGATATTTTAAACTTATGATAAGCATAATAAATTTTGTTTCAAAATATATTTATTTATCCCCTCCAAAAAAATTGATGACGTCAGCTCAAAAGTTTGCCGAATAAATCCTCTCTAAAATGTACAAAATATGATGAGTCTGTACTTATGATTTATCATTCCATCCAGATGCGTGAATTTATTTAATTGATTCAGGAATTACAAAATCGAAAAGCATGGTAAATTTTTGATCAAAATGTATTTAGTCATCCCCCCCTAAAAAATTGATGACGTCACCCCAAAATTTTGCTGAATATGTCCTATCTCAAATATACAAAATATGATGAGTCTGTACTTGTGATTTATCATTCCATTCATATTTTTTAGATTTGTTTAACAGGTGACTCAAAAAAATTAATGAATTAGTCAATTTATTTTATTATTTATTGATTAAATCAGGAAGAGTTCACTATATTTTCCCAAAAATTTGGAGGTACGCTGTTATTATTAGTATTACATTGCACCAACCCAGTTTGATAGACACAAAATTTTGTAAAGGAAAAACTCGTTTGAAACATAGGCGTAGCACGATTATTTACATTTACTTTAACATTACAGACGTGCATTTGTTTTCTTGCGATGACTAGGTTCCGTGGATGTGGTATATACAAGTTATAATCAACCAGTTGTGAATTACACCATCAAAAATTAAAATAAAATCCAATGTTTTATGTAATAAACGGA